TTCTGAGCGGCACTAACACAACGCTCAAGCTGAAAATTCAGGGGTTCGTTTGCACGCTTCGTTGATACACAATGCACCAGGACATGCGATCAATTAACGAACCGCACGTCAGTCTGATTAAAGACCGTTACAAATAGACACCAGTATGGCCTGCTGATCTATATAACCTGGAGTCTCGTCATTGTTAACACTGATACGTCATCTACCACGGTCATTCAACTGTCGGGTCAATCGTATTGCTTGGTTTTCCAGTCAAATGCATTTTTTTTTTCACTCGGCTGAGGTCATTGTGGTTATATGGACATAATTCTGTTGTAACGATTGCATTCAGCGGGAATTGCTGTCTCCAATGGAACAGGATAAATCGGTATGAACCGCACGATTTCCGGGTGGGTGGAGAATTTTCCGACAATTCAATGAATTTTGGTTATTTCATTTCAGATCCGGCCATATTCTTTAAATATTATGTTATTTCAGTATTGGAATTCACGAGTTGAACTATTAGAATTCAAATTCAATGAATCATCATTTTTTTCAGTTATGTGCACTGATGGCACTAATTCACGGAATGATTAATTCAATTTTAATTTTAGAAATTAATTAAATTAATTAGGAGAAGGATGATAACTGTTCAATCGGTAATTTTAATTTTTTTCTCTCAACACTCATGAATTCAAAACTCATGAAATTTTCCGTTTGCTCCGTGAATTTTTCTCTCGATGACTAATTACCAAATCATGTACGAGCTGCGTATGTCGTGGTAATTCCCCAGGACTTGTTGGTCTCCAATTTATTTACGCTGGACGATGCAGTCCCCTCGATTTTCGGATGGAATTTTTGTGGGACAATATTGGGAATGCATGGTGGGACATGGTCATCAAGGGGTTGATGAAATATTTGGACGATAGGTGCGTGCAATGGTCAGTGTGAAGAGCAGGGGGAGAGATGTTGGAGCAGACGCTTGACGTGTTGTATGTGCGGCGAGACATACCCACGTGACGATTTATCGACGTAAACGCGTATCTCATTGGTCAGTGAACAGAACACGAGTCTCGTTTACCCTTTAGGAGCGGCTCCCCATGGGGGATGTGTACTGTGGAAGGCAGGATCAGGGGGATGGGCTCCAACGATAGCCCATAACCTGGGGGATAGACGTCTGCAAATCAACTTTGTAATGTACACTTCCCCATCAACGTTGCCATTCAATTCTATCCTTCAACACATTTTTTAATTATTTTAATTTTCCTCTTTCAATCGTGATATAGAGCCAGAATAAATTATCATCGCACTGAGATAAAAAAAAATTTCTGGTTAATTAATTTAATTTTACTGAGAGAATTCGGAATGATTTAATGCACAAGAATAATTACATACGTGGATTTGCTGGGCGTTAGTGAATTTATTTAAAATTCATTAATTTTCTCAAACGAATCAGTCGCGAAAATTTCTATGGAGACAGAAATGTCGCTGTCTTTCCTATTCAGACCTTTTTTACCCGAAAATAATGATATTGCTCATTCTTTTTCACCGGAAGATAAAAATACGGGATAAATTCAGTAAATTGCCAACTCCACTTTCATTATTATACTCTACCCTCGGGGGTAGTTGCACCATATCTTGACGCATAAATAGTTGACCATAAAAAATTGTAAAATTGCTGGCTTCACTGAAATACACAGGAAGAAAACTTTCTATTTTCAGAAAAAGTCATTTGATTCCGGGATTCCATGTTAATGGAAATTAATGCGCATGAGGTGCGCGGTATAAATGACTTTTTCTCTTGTTGCAAGAATATTTTTCTTAACGTCAGGAAAAAAGATCTCTGAAGCTCAGTAATTGATATACTAAATTTAATGTACGTAATTGTGCCAAATGTGAGCAGTAAAGTTCGTTATTTAGAGACAATTTAAGTTCTGGAATTGTGAACCTGCTGCTTCTACCAGAATACTCATTTATTTTAAGGAAATAGATTAAGAGCTTTTTTTTACAGAAATTCCTTAATTAATTTCCTCACCGTTTCAAACTGACATAATCCGTGTAGTGGATTATCTGCACTCTCGTTGTTTTGTGGCTTTAATTATCTTTTTAAATGAAATTTCTATTTCGATTTTTTGTCGTGAATGAAAAATTGTCTAATACTTCGCATCTTTGACCTATTTCGGACAATACCAGAGGAAGTGGTAAAAACTTTAATTTTCCGCCCCGTAAAAACCGCAGAAATGATTAATTAATCTGACATTTTTATAGAGAAAGCATTTTTTTTTACCTGTCAATTTCTCTCGATTTTCTCCCTGGAACATGAAATAATTAGTATGCCTCAAAGAAAAAACTTGGTTGCTTGAAAGTTCGTCTTCTCCCCGAAAGTCAAGAGTTTCATTGTCAATTCAGTGCTGATATCGCAGTGAATAAAGTGCAAAGGTGTGCTCTCATTTTTTCCCTATTTTTCTGAATAAATTTATTCTTTTCTGGTAGTACGAGGAGGAAGGTCCGATGCACTCGAGCATTACAATTTTAGATTTAGCATTTGTAAAAATATACATTCACGGTTTTTGTTGGTCGGTTTATCCTTCAATGGACACGAGCCACGATATTGTTGAGGTGTTCTCCATCCCTTGAATTTATATTTTTCACAATGGGACAATAGAATACTGCCAACAAAGCTACCGTGACCTGAGCCTATCAACACACTAGATTTACTCCCGCCCGTCCATTTTTTTATAGTCTCAAATGCTCAACGCACCTTTTTTTCTCCTTTATAGGAATTGAAAAATTTTCTTTTAAACGACACTGTCGATCAATTCGCAATGTGTGCACTTGAATGTGTAGCACATGGCTTCAATTTCTCTCTATTTATTTGGGATTTTTTCATTTCATTTTTTTCAATATTTGAGAGAATGAAGGAAGCAGTGGAAATATACACAGGTTTCCACAAATCATATTGTCGATAGCGTAATTTTTTTATTTAGAATTGAAAGGGGAATCGATGACATTTTCTCTCGGTTGAGTTGACTAAAATGAATGGAGGGGAATTTTTCTTTTTTCAGGGGCTGAAGGATCATTTATTACCTTTGACGGAGGCTTTGCATGGGAGTGAAAAGAGTTTTTCATTGGGAAAATCGTGGATTTGTCGGGGATTCAATGAATAATGGGATGATTTGGAAATTTTCATTGGAGAAAGATAGTCACTAAACACCGGGCTTCACATCTGCAATATATAAAAAATAACGACTATAAAATATAAAATATTAAATATAAAAATACCGAAAAATATTTCCAAATATTTTGTATAAAGAACGAAGATATAGAATGATGAACCAAAAAATTATCAAGAGCTAAAAAAAATATTTCTGTCTCTCTTCTTCTTCATACTTTATCGCTGTAGAAGAGATGAACAATTCGGGATTCAAAACGCTGTTAAATAGAATTGCAGATGTGTTGAAACACTTGAAGTTTACCCGAATTTTCGGGTGTTCATTTGAATTTTCAATTACCCGTCGGAAATTCCATGAATTAATTCGAATATCAATATTGGTCGGTACTTGAGATCTATATCAGCTCGAATTTACGGAGTGATAACACTTGAAAATTCAAATATTCATCGTTAAAACTGTGCAGTCATGTTTACATGAATGAATGAAGAACCTTTCGTCTCAAACGATCACGTTATTCCAGCTGTTATATCTTCTTCACCGAATTCAATTACATCATTTTTACTCCATTAAAACAATTTATATAAAAAATAATTTATACAAATTTACAATATCTCTAGCGAAATCGAAAAAAAGCGCTGGACAAAGCCCAACAAATGGGTTCAGTTTCCTCCCGACTAATCCCAAAATCGTTCTCTCCACCCCATGCCCCATAAATTTGCATCCGGCCCTCGGTCAAAAAAAAAAAAATAATGAAAAAAAATATCTGCATCTCAACAAGTCACGATGTATCGTTTTTCGATATAAAACTGGCGGGCTTGGCTTCGGCTTGTGCCAGCTGAAGGCAGTTACTTAATACGTTTCAAGATGCGGATTAGGTGTCACATTTCTCCGGGACTTGAACATAATTCCTCTTCAGTCACCCTCACTCTTACTTCCAGCATCTGTCCCCTCGATGGCATCTTAAACGCCTGGTTATGAAGATTATTATAACAGCCTCAACAACTCATTTTTTTTTACCTCCTGTGTATTTTTTTTTCCCGACCCTTTCCGCTCTCTCTCATGAGATTTAAACGACCCGCGGGTGATCTCACGTCCGGTCCAATTGCCGCAAGATAAAGACAGTAACTCGAGGCGAGAATAAAATTGTAACTGGGAGGGGTTACTAAATAACAATACGTGAATTTGTGAGTGACGGTTGTTGCTTCCGGTGGTGACAATGTACTGTCTATGTGGGACTGTAGATATAGGGCCCACAGGGGGCCATTGTCACTTGGCAATGACCATCAGTGGGGTTTGTCTGGACTGGGGGCACCGGTACCATTTTATCGGACCACTGGATAGCCAGATGTTTTAGGAGAAATAAGCTTTCATGGTAGATGTATTTTATGGATCGGGTAAATGGAATCAAATTGATGGGAATAATGCTGAACAGTTCGGCGGGTTCATATATTTGTTATGGCGCACTCACGGAAATGCCTATTTCAAACAATTCTTTATGATGTGCATGTCATTTATCTAAATTTTTTTTGAAATGTCATGGAAAATATGACTGTAATTCTCTGGAGACTGACAGTCAATCGATTTGAGAGAAAAAATTCACATGAGACTCAAGTATTGAAATCAAAATTTTAAAACTTGATCACAGTATCAATGAAATATGACTATTCATATTTTTATAAAATATTCCAACTCGTTGCTCAGTAAATTGCATAATTGATATGTTTCATGTTTTAAATAATCAAAAATTTAATGAGCAAAATGTCCTTGAGCTGTCGAATATCATCGAATATCGAATATTACTCCCCGATAGTGATAAAGTAATAAATTGCCTCGATTTATCTGTTTCAGAACTGATTGGCATCGATGCTCTAGTAAAAGCTCCCCCCGTGGTTAGGTAACAACCAGCAAAATGTGGCGGACAATGATGGGAGTGATTGTTCTGGTGGTGCTAGTGGTATCACCATCAGATGCCAAAGTATCAGTTGTACCCCACGACGTATACCCCGGTTTCGAGGTGATGCAATTGAAACACGACAAGAAACACGCCTCGAATTATCACTTACTCGAGACGGGTTTCTCCAAGTACTTCACAGTACTTGATAACGGAATGGTGATGACAACGTCTGATCTAACGCCACTAGTCAACAAACCAGTGAATCTGCTTGTTCTCGAGGAGTTGTTCAACAGAACCGAAATCCACGATGTACATTTGTTCGTTATAAATCGTGGCAACATGCTGACATTCTCCTACGAGGAGTTGGGTACGGGTGAGGTAATGGAGAATGCACCAGCAGGTACAATTGTTGATGAATTTCCAGTATTACACGCATATGGGAGCTTTCCCGTGCATTATACGATATTGCCGGATGATTCTGGTGAACGTGCATTCGCACTCACGGAGGAGACCTCCACTGAGACTGGCTTTAATCTAACCCTGAAGAGACCGAATCAAGGAGTTCGAGTGGTTACCACTAAACCCCTGGACCGAGAAGTCAAGAAATTGTATGCTGTTGTTATTCATGCATCCGATGCCAATTATATCAGCACTTCTAAGATCAGTGGTGTGGTTAATGTTCTGGATGATAATGATAACAGTCCGGAGTTTGATCATGAGGAGTACAGCTTCGAGCTGCGCCCGTTGAACATGGAAACACTTGAGAAAGATGGGGCACCCAAGTGGAAGAGATTTGCTACGATTGGCAGGGTGTCTGCTAAGGATGCCGATGGGGATAAGGTTGCGTACCAGTTGATTACACCCACCAATTTACTAATCATTGTGCCCCAAACTGGTGAGATGCTACTTGCTGGAGAACCTGATGCTACTGTTGACGAGGACAGCGAGGTCGAGGTGATGATTGATGCTCATGATCTCAGGACACCCAGTAGGAGTACTCTAAGACCTGCTAGGGCTGTTGTCAAATTTTTGACCACTGAGCCTATCGTGAAACCTGAGGTTCACCGAATTCAGAAGAGACGCGTCACCAGGGCTGTCAGGCCCACCAAGAAGGTCGAGTTCCTCGAGTCTGAGGGCGATATCGAGGGAAAGATCGTTTTCTCTTTGGAGAAGGAGACTGAGAAGGAGGCTTACAAGATCAGGGATGAAAACCCATGGGTCACTGTCATGACCAATGGATCTGTCAGGGTTAAGCAGAAGTGGGACTATGAGGAACTCGGACCTGAAAAAACTATTGATTTTTGGGTTACGATTACTAATCAGAGTAAGAGGCCTTTTTTCATTTGAGTTTTGGGGTATTTCTACGATTCACAACAAAAAATTTCTCGACATTAGGAAATAAGTATTTAGATTTGTGAAAATTTTGAAAATTGTGTTCTTAATTTTGGAAAACTTGTACTCAATTCAAGAAAACCATTTTCCTTATTTTTTAAAGTCAAGACTTTTCTTTCAATGAGATTTCTGTTAATTTTTTTCTTGGGGTCGGCCATTTTAAGGGTTTACGTCTGACGTCATTTGAATGACGACATGCATTTGGTCTTTATTTAATGTTTCTTTTATTTTCTGGATTTTCATTGGTGTCTTCTACTTTTCTGGGGAACGTCACAGATTCTTGGTGTCTCCTCTATCCAGACGCTTATCCATGTCGATTCGACGAGGGTATTATTTTTATTTCCGAAAAATGACTTATGAGCGTTTTAGTTCCATTTAGATTAATTTCCATGGTTGTGGGCTTTAACTCGTCTCTTTGAGAGTTCAGTGGAATAACAGGACAAGTTTATCAGTTAGTAAGAATTCTTTTCACTCGCGATTTCAGTGTTCCCCTTGCTTTCATTTAATTTCATTAAGAGAGTTATGAGTTGGAGAGTATTGGAGTTAAAGAATTCTTAATTCAATTGATTCTAATGAACCCATCGAGTTTATGAGAGAATATAAAAGTTTATTTTATTCCGGAAACCAGTGGTGCTTCCATGCACTCTTGTGATACAGGACGAAAATTTTAATTAAAACAAAACTGTCGTTACCTCTTTTTTCATTCACCATTGAATTGTATGCAGAATAAGCTCTGACTTGTCGCTTCGTGACACGGAGATCCCGAGCATCAGCGGTTAAACGAATTAACTTGAAAAATGACAGCCATGTTCCATCAACAAAGAGTGAACATTTTTTTTTTCCCCTTTTTCGTTAACGTGACTCAGTCTCTATGCGCGGAATTACGAAAATGCATGCAAGGTCTAAATTGGGAAAAGCTTTTTTTGCTATAGTTTTATTTTCTCGGCATAACAGAACGGAATTTTTGCATTTTAAGTAGACACAAAGTACGGAGCATCAGGATGGAAATTGTGCAATAACAAGGAAAGTTTGGCCATTTTTTTACCAATACTTTTTATGGGAGGTCAAACTGAAAGGTTTGCACGGCTGAGGACGAGAACAAAGTGATTTTCTAAATGAAAATATAGATGAGGAGTTCATAAACACTTTGAAAGATTAAAAATTGTTTCGACTCATCGATTTTCCATTCGCAGTTGCGAATTGGTGAAGTCAGATTGATTCATTCCATTCATTCATTCCTTTCATTCATTCCTTTCATTCATTCCATTATTTTCTCATGATCTGTCACTGTCTGGACACTGAATGTATCTTTTGCGCTTCAAAAAATAATTATGTCGTACTATAATCGCGGTATTACTACTTGTGATCAATTATTATTGGGAGTCCCAGATTTCTCGGTAAATTTCAGTATCCACCGACCCGCATTTCCATCGAATTCCAATATAGATCCACCTACATCCGTTATAAATCTCGCAATAAAATATATATGTCCAGCCAGACCTACATATGGACATCCGGTCGCCAATTTAAATCCTACATTTATCCGCACTCTAACTCCCCGATAATAATCCCATCGAAAACCTCTAATAAGAAACACCTAAAATCCCAAAACCCAGTCGCATTTCCCGGAAATTGAGTTACGAAGGGAAACACAAAATATTGAACCAGACGTGGATGTCATTCTCCGGATTACGCGCTGTATGTGTCACGCTTTCAATCCATTGGAGAAAAATGAATCAAAGTTGATGTTTTATCGAAACAACCAATAAATTTCCAGCAGAAATGGTTTTCAGTAGATAGCTCAGCAATATTTTTCTCTGAGAACGTCTATTTTTCCAAAGAGAAAAACGCAGACAGTTATTTAATCATCACGAGGCTAGCTTTCGGGTTGTCCTGATTTCAAATAATTTATTCATGACGTTATTCCACTGAAACTCGAAATTGCGAAAATATATTTAGACTAGAAAAACTTATGGTACAACTGGATGGGTCATCTGAGCCAGATGTGAGAATAAATCGAAAAAAGATATTTTTGGAATTTGCACACTGAGGAAGAATCTCGATGTTGAAGAAAATTCGCTAGGGAAGAAGTTTCCTGATTTAAAAAGAAGTTTTCTTGAAACTTCTAGTAGAAACTTCTTCTTTTTACAGTGAGAAGAATTTTTTTTCCAATAACGAGCATTTTTTTCTCTCGACGCAAAATCTTCTGGACGTGAACTCTGGTCTCAAAATGATAAAGACTTTGAGAAATTTCGAAAAATCGATGGCGCATTTTACCAGTTATACCTGAAATAAAGCAGAGCACAAAAAATATGCAAAACTAATCCATGATTTTTCTCTTTCCAAAAAAAAATCACAAACCTTTAATTCACAAATCTCATTGGCAACAAAGAGCTTCAATGTAAGTAGCAATGAATCAATACTTCACACTGCATGCAAAACAAAATATCATTAGTTGACATACATTAGCAGCAGCCACTCGAGACAAAGCTCAGCTTGAGTAACAGACTGCCACACACAACATCGACTCAAGAGAATTCGATAGATGCCATTACGTCTGACCATTTCAATTCTAGACACCGACAATCAACGTGTGATTATCAACATCAAGGATGTCAACGATGAGGCACCCTACTTCATAAACAAACCCCTGCCAATGCAGGCAGTAGTTCAGTTGAATGCACCACCAAACACCCACGTGTTCACTCTGCAGGCACGAGATCCAGATACTGATCACAATATCCACTATTTCATCGTTCGTGATCGAAGTGAGTACTGACACGATAAAACAATCACGTTTTATCTTGATCGAATAGAATAACTTCATCAACGAATTTAAAACTGATATTCTCCAACAGCTGGTGGACGATTTGAGGTCGATGAACGTTCGGGTGTGGTACGCACTCGGGGCACTGATGTCTTTCAATTGGACATGGAGTATGTGCTCTACGTCAAAGCGGAGGATCAGAATGGCAGGATCGGTGAGAAACACTTTCAGTCAACTCAGGAGGAGAGATTATCCATTGTCGGTGGTAAACGGGCACCGCAATTCTACCTCTCCACGTATGAGACTGAGATACCGGAGAATCAGAAGAAAGACACTGAGTTAGTTGAATTTCAATATCTATTATCGCTAGAGTTTTACTCAGCTCTGCTGACTGAAGTTTAATTGATGAATTTCTTTGAGATAGCTCAGCAGTTTTACTTTTAACGTTAATCTTTTTATCGATAATATTTACGCTGTACTTCTGGATAATCATTAATATACCATTCTTTCACTGCAATTTCACGTAATTACGCAAATGGAATTTTATATTTTTATGTATGAAATTGAGATGTTGGAGGACTGCCGGAAATGTGGAAGAAATACGGTGGAATTGAAGTATTGATTAGAGTGCGAGTCTCGTTTAGTTCTGGTACATTATGTCTAAATGGACAGCCTATTTCAGAAAGTTAACTAGTTTTACTTCTACCGAGAAATTCGAACATTAATAATTGCCAGTTCTTCAAAGTACTCCAAAGATGTTACTCTTTTACAAATTACGCCAGAACTTTACACCGCTAGATAATTTCATAATATTCGTAATATCATATTATGAGATTATCCCAATCATATTATATCAATTTTTTGTAATAATTACAAGACAACGTTTTCGTAATCACAAGAAATATTCGCTTCATCATTTAATCTACATTTGTGGTTTCAAAGTTGTATAACTGATTCAACGGAATTGCTAGTATAAGTATTTTTTGTTTCATCAGTTGAATACTTGAATAATTTATTGAAAGTTGTTTTTCTTTGATGCCGTAATAGATGAAAGAGAGATTGAAAAGTGCTTATAAGGCCAGTCTAATGCTATAAACGTTAACTCAGCAACTTTTTTCCTCCAGTATCATATCCGTCAAAGCCAAGTCTTTTGCCGATCGTGAAATTCGTTACACTCTGAAAGCACAGAGTCAGGGAGCGGCTGGAACTTTCAATATTGGACCAACTTCTGGCATCGTGAAACTTGCCAAGGAATTGGACTTTGAGGATGTACGACAGCCCCACGTTTATACCCTCGTTGTAACTGCCACTGAAGATTCCGGTGGATTTTCAACGTCAGTCGAGGTAAAGTTATTGAAGACGAAATATCATTATAGATTTCAAAAAGTAGGGGATAGAAATGACTATTATGGACTTACTATATTTCGTCATTTAGTTGACCATAAGAGTGACGGATGTTAACGACAATGCACCGAAATTTGAGCTACCTGACTATCAGGCTCACAATGTGGATGAGGATATAGCACTGGGAACTAGTATCCTCAAAGTCAAAGCCACTGATGCGGATTCGGGAGCCAATGCTGATATCGAGTATCTTGTATCAGACGATCACTTCAGTGTGGATTCCAGTGGACTCATTGTCAATAACAAACAATTGGATGCCGATAATAACAATGCTTACTACGAATTTGTAGTTACGGCGAAGGACAAAGGTATAATTTACCCCTGGAACGAAGATATTTACAGAGACCATTCAGGATTTCATAATATATACCATTGAAATTCAATTTTGTGGGGAAAAACAAGTTCCATTGAGTGTGATTAATTGTAGGTTGAAATTCTTTAGAGACTATTTTTAATTGAATCGTAAAATGAATACTACTATCCGTACGCAATCGTAAAAGGTTCGCGAATATATACGGATTGAGCGTAATTGTTCGTGAAGTACAGATGAATTTTGTGTTCTCTCCCGATGAATGGCGTAGTAAGGAAATCGTATTTTTTATGAATTCAAAGTGACTGTAAATATCCAGAAAATGAAATCAACCGAGTTCTCTGGATTTCTGTATTGAAACAAACCGGGTTAATGGAGGTGAATTCGAAAGCTTTTGAGAGTTCCAGATTTGAACTATTGCCATGTAAATTCGGTTATAGTGTTTGCATAATTCTGTGGGGAAGTACACTATTGATTTTGCGAGTACAGTTTTGTGCCGGGATTTGCATTGATAAAAACCGCTGCTTTGAAAACAAATCGGGATATTGGACTGAGTATTCAATGCGTCTGACGTTTATCCGAGTATGTAGTACTCATTCGTGAACGATCTTTAACTGTCAGGGTTCGAGAATTCAGGTCAGTTCCTAATGATATTATGAATTCAACTCTGATTTAAGTGCCAAACCATTAATAGCTTCGTTGGAAAATTGCTCAACCGTAATAGCATACGAGAATTGACAATTCAATCCTGAATAAGACGCAGAAACCGTATTTCGGGTGTGATTTCATTATATCCGATTAGAAGCCCAAGAAAATCGAGTCTCAAGTAAAAATACTTGAAAATCTCGGAGCCCTTGAAACTTTGAAAAGAATTCGCGCGAAATTTTGTCAAACTGCAATAAAGAATTGAAATCTTACATCTCCATGGACCAATGAATAGTACGAAAGAAATAAAACTTCCACAAATTTGTTCTTCTCCGCTGCAGCTGAAATTGTCATAGATTTTCTCACTGGAAAATTATGAAGATAAAATTATGAAGTTCCCTTTCTTCGTAATTTGACACCCATTGAGATCCACTAGAGGGTGAAGCTTGCAGCATCACTTCCGCCAGCTATTAAATTCCCAAGAAATTGAAATCCATTCTCCCAAAAGTTTTTGATATCGAGATGCACTTGAGAATATTTCAGCTGCAGCGAAGAATCAATGCAAATCTATTCTCAAAATGACATCTCACTTAAAATTCTACCTATTGACGTAAAATATCCGAGATATTGTTATCAATTTGCATTGAAGTAATTTTCCCTTGGAATATCCTAATGAATTTATTGATGTAGGTGCTCCGGCAAAGACTGGACAAGCAACAGTGCGAATATACACGAAAAATAAGAACGACGAGGAGCCAAAATTTTCGCAACAGGTGTACACGCCAAACGTGGACGAGAACGCCGGGGCTAACACCTTGGTGACGACCGTTGTTGCCTCAGACAAGGACGGTGACAACGTACGCTTTGGGTTTGTCGGGACAGCGACTGAATCCGGGCAGTTCGTCATCGAGGAGATAACCGGCGTTATTCGTCTGCGTGGCTCAGACATATCATTAGAACGTGATAAATATGAGTTGAACGTAACGGCAATGGACGATGGTGCATGCTGTCCTGATGGGAAGAAGAATATTCATACAAGTACAGCTGTGGTAGTTGTCTTTATCACGGATGTTAATGATAATAAGCCGGTGTTCAAGGAGTGCGGTAGCTATTCACCACAAGTTGAGGAGGGGGCACCAAATGGCAGTCCTGTCATTAAAGTACAAGCTACTGATGAGGATAAAGGAGTTAATGGACAAGTCAAATATTCCATTGTACAGCAGCCCAATCAAAAGGGAACGAAATTCACTGTCGATGAAGAAACGGGACAGGTCTCGACAAATAAGGTATAGATTTTTGGGTCAAAATCCAAAGTATGTCGATAAGCTCAAAGAGAAATCCTCATGGAAATTTAAATTGCCAATTGCCAATGTTATGATTAATTTGATTCTCGCTCAGTATTTTTTGCCACCTCAGGACTTGTATTTCGTTCTGTAAATCAAATTATTGGAGACAATTGAAATTGAGATTGCCATCAACATTCATAATAGCCAAATAAGGGAAATGCTATCAATGATAATATCAACCAATTACGTGATTGCATCATAATTGGATCGGTCTTGCATGACAAATTGATAATTTCGGATCCATTGCAGTTAATTACTTGAAGCACTTTCCGCTATTTCCCTGAATATATTGCACTCAGCACCCGATGGCGAAATGAAATTGACCAAATTTTTATTCTAATTAACTTCAAGCCGTAATCTCATTTCTTAACGTTCGTCTGATCTATATTATTAACAATTGAGATCCTGCAAATATCTCTGAATCCAATGAAAAACAAATTTCACTCACGATTATTTTCGTACTTCGCTCCATAAAAATAACCATAATACATATTACGTATTTCGTTTGTATGGGAAGATATGCTTTGAGTACTGCCTTTGAATGAAATTACCTTGAACCGTTGCCCCTTTTCGTTACGGAATAGCTTCGAAAACAATGTTCATTTACATCCATCAATTGTCAAAGCCATCCCCCACCTGCCCTCGCCGTCATTCTAATTATATCCATTGTCCAGGTATTTGATCGAGAAGGAGACGATGGGAAATTCGTATCAGTGACAGTGAAAGCAACCGATCAGGGTGAACCATCGCTGGAGGGCGTATGTTCATTCACGGTTGAAATTACAGATGTCAACGACAATCCACCTCTCTTTGATCGTCAAGTAAGCAATTCCCATTATCCTTTGAATGTGTCCAGCTTTCAAATTGATTAAACACTCATTACCTCTAGAAATACGTGGAGAATGTAAAACAAGACGCAAGCATTGGCACTAATATACTCAGGGTATCGGCATCCGATGAGGATGCTGACAATAATGGTGCGATAATATATTCTCTGAGTTCACCGAGCAATCGACAAGATCTGGAATACTTTGAAATACAACCGGAATCCGGTTGGATAATATTGAAGAAGCCATTAGACGTGAGTATCACATTCTTCATCATTTTTTTCCTCGTCTTTATTAACATGCTATACAAAAATCTATCATAAATAACTCTTAGCAGTATCATCAATGTCGATATCTGGAATACGTGGGCGTTCGCGCTGTTGTAAAAAATATAACGACTTTTTTTTTATAATCATCAACAAGACCAAAGCTTGATATGAGACTTCTGTACATAATGTAATATAACTTCTCTATTGGCTACTCTAATCACGCTTTAATCGTTCTACATCTTATGAGAATAAATACGCTAATCGCATTCCAGAATCGCCTAGATTGCGTAGATTATTTTTATAAACTTGAGTGTACACCTTCTGCCGACGTTTAAATATTTACGTTAACAACACGAATTAATTGAGTTAATTGTTTTTACTGCTGAAAATATAATCGGAAAGAGAAAAATTTAAAAAAAAAACTAGACAGACTTTGTATACTGATATATCGTTTAAAATCGATATTCATTATTTCTCATTCACTGATAAATGAGTTACGTTTTTACGGCACTTGTATAGAATTTTTAATTCCCATTGATATGCACAATGTGTTCACTATGGTAAATATACTTAGCTACTGCCTGAATTCCTCAAATGCTTCACGTACCTGAATCGATCGACCAATTCGGGCTCATATATATATATATATTTTTTGAAAAGAACACACACTCTCTTTCTCTGTCTTCCACTATGATTGAAAAATAATTATATTTGAGTTTTGAAATGCTCATATGGAGTGAGCCTCGAGTTATAAAATCATCAATCCTTTAGATATGATATACAACATTCCATTCTGAATAAGAGCCAACCTTTTTGTATAGAATTGTCGGTTGTCGGTGAGTCTTTCATAATGAGGAAAATTATCAATTCAAATAGCAGATTAAATTTTGAGTTTTTCAGTTGTCGGTCGGTTATTTATTTATTCAATAAGACTGTGGCTGAGACTAACGTGATTTTATAGGAGCCTTACGCCTCGATTGCGTGTGCACTCTTTGTCTAATTAATCTACTTTGTTTGTCATCCACCCCAATTGTCCCCTTAAATATAACTGAAAAATTCTAACAATAACAGTAATTAATAATAATAAAACTAACGCCTAAAATGCTTAAACTGGAGATAATATAAACGAATAATTAAACATGTTTTACTGTTTGTTTTTTAATTATTTTTCATAAGGATTTACATCTTTTGTTAGTCTTGATGAAGCTGAAAAATCTACTAATGAGAATGTTGTTTTTTAAAAGGGAAGTGATGTGTTTTGAACTTCCAGGAGCAGGTGGGAAACCAGAATTTTAGTGACCCACATACGGTGTACTTCAGCGTCTACGCATTTTGTGGTGCATCAGACAATTTAAAAAGAAACGCTAATTTACCTAAAATCTTAAAGAACAGAGATTGCGAATTTATTTTTCTTGAAACATGCTTGCAATTTAATTGATGATGAATGTATTTTTTGAATCCTTTACAGGAAAAAGGATCGCGCTCTCTCGCTCCTCCCGCTCGTTATTTATCACTCACACTCTGAAATTAAAAGAATATCTCCCCGTTAATCTAATTATCAATACGAAGGCCTATATATCTAACTGTCCCTTGAGAAATGAGAAAAATCTATCTTGCCTGCTTCTCCGTCTGCTCTCTGACGTCATATTTCTCAATTTCACTACCTCTGGAATGAGTCTTCATCCATGAAGACGTCCCCAATATCTTAAATATTAAATTTTCCTCCTTATCATGCTAATCTTCACTCTCACTCATCTGATTTTTCCACTCTAGACTCATAACACTGTCTTCATAGCTGTCTAATTAATATCTATCTTCTCTTTTTCTTCCTTCTGGCACAACTTCTCATATTGCAACCTAGATTCGGTATAACTATCACCAATGAATGATCGACGACTCTTTTGTAAACTGTATTGTGTGCACCGCGAGTCTAGTTTTTAAGAAACAGTATATTTTCCAAGGAGAAGATAATGAATAAGCAACAGAAAAGAGCTATTGAACAAGACAATGAGTAAATCAAACGGACTCCGTGGTGTGACATTTTTTCTTCTGTGATTGGGGCGGCATACCGTTGTATATGCGTTATTGTCACGAGACAGACTCAATATATCAGCTAGAATCTATGTGAAATATCGCAGACGGGACATGGAAATTCGATAGTTGAGTGCCACAGCGATTTTATTTCAATGAGGGTTCTTACTATTTCATTTCAACGATAGTCAAAGAAAGAAAACAGTTGATATCTCTCCCTCCTAATTCCACAAATTGGATACTAGATTTATACTGACAAATCCAATTAAAATCCCTCAAAAAACCCTCACCCCTTATCTCCATCTCTACCTATTTATTTTATCAAAGAAAAACCTCTTTTTAACGCATTCTGCTTGCATGCCGTTGCCTGCATTTATTTCGTATGAAAAGAAAAACAAGATATTAAAACAAGATGAAAAAAAAATCATACTAATATCGTCTCATTATTGTTTATGTTTGTCTTTTATTGCACCATTTTCTTTCTTCGGATTTTCATGATGAACAAAAATTAACGATTAAAATACTAAAAAAGGGCTGTGCTCCAGTAAGTAGGAAACTCTTCTTTTTCACAATTATCAATTATTTTAATTTTATCTTTCATTGAGACTCAAACATTTCCGCATTTATATATGCTGTGCATCAAGTGCGTCGTACACCCGATTCTTTTTTTTATTATATCTCTGTTGTTTCCGTTTGTTTTAATTATTTCATCCCTCCTCGCTTCTTTTTTATTCGAACATTTCCAATTATTCGGAGTACTGCTTCTCTTAACGTTCTGTAAATTACCCTTCTCTGTTGAAAACGTGCTCGTTTCGATGTCGAGTTTGGTTTTTTTTTTGTTTCATTTTTGTTTTGCTCTCCTGTTTTCATCCGTTTGATTCGTACATTTTTCTACGTTTTGTTGATTGCTCTTGTCGCCCAGTATATACAAAAAAAAACGGCCGAATGTTTCTCGAATGATATTCTACTGATAATTTTCCCTTATTTTACAATATAAAAATTAAAATAATCACATACTCTGAATTAAGTTTAATAATTTTTATGATTTGAGTTATGTTTTTGTTCTTTTTTTTGGGTTTTTTTCATTTTTTAAATTAACTATCGCCGTTTTGTCTCACAACGCTCAGCCCGAGCTGCGTAGGTATCCATCGTGCCGTAGCCTGTGTAACATACATGAAAATATATATGAAATCATCATATATACAACGACCAAAATCTCAAACAATATACATAACATAATACTTGTACAGTAGTGTTGTAATTTATTTGCAATGCAGCACAAAACAAATAATATTTTATCGCTATAATTATTGACAATATATGTAGCAGCACCAGTAATATTTGCCGTCTTGTACACCCGATATATTACCATATATATCGAATTCATTATATATATTATTATTTTATTTGATAATTCTCTCCTACCGCCGCCAAACCAGTACTGCGGCGTTCACTGTAAAACCTTTGTTTGTTGTAATTGTTAATCAAATTTAATGAAACATATATAATTCCACTGATATTTGAGTGTTCCAGAGCTAAGCGAAATCTGGCTCGTCGATCGCCGGGATTTTACAAAAAAATAAATAAATAAATAAATAAAGAAAAAGTATGAAAGTCCCTCGCGAGGATACCTACCAGACTTCGGCTTGCGTCTTTATTTCAATCGCAAATAAATCACTGAGATCTTGATTAAAAAGAAAAAACAAAAACATTCAGTCAATTTTTTCGATCAATATGAAGTATCGAAATCGCATTATTGCTGAAAATTGTACAGTATCGCGTGTATAGATACGGCCTTTGTCTGCAATGTCAAAAAGTCTCGGAATGATAATTCGCTATTAAAAAAAAAAGAACAACAACAACAGCCACAAAACATCAACAACAATAAAAAAAAATGGCCCCGAAAATTGTCCTGTAACTTGACGGCCCATGTTTTGCCAATAGCGAGACAGGTATCGCCTGAAGGTGCGGGCCTCTGACAAAGGGACTGAAGTCTTGTCCGCTGACGTGGACGTTGAGTTAGACGTCGTAGACAGAAACAATAAACCTCCTCTGTGGGATGAGCATGTATACGGCCCCATTCACATCAAAGAAAATGTCACAGTGGGTACTGTAGTGACGTCGGTGAAAGCCAGGTTTGTATGCCACGACATGACCAAGACCAAGAGACATGCCGTGCCGCGCCATGCAGTGCTCTCTATCTCTTATCTAATTCTTTTTCTCTGTTGAATTAGTGAAGAAATTATAACAAAATCATAACATCAATACACGGAAGAATTCTGGGATTGAGAGTTTTATGCTGAAGTCCAACATTTGGAGTTCTTTTGCTGTCGTCAATACGATAAATTCATCAATCACGATGTCATCACCATTTTATTCTTACGAATCATCAGTCATTTATGAGATTAAAAGCAAAATAATCTCATGAGTCTTCCAATTCCCATCTTAATCGTTTCATTCATTATCAAACTACCCAGGAAATATATTATATCATCTTGAAAACTAAAAATTATCAAACGAAAATTATGACGAATAATGTAAAAAAAAATGGATATTTCCTGATAATATCAATTTTAATTTTAATCTAATGACATCTTCTAGGGACGCTGCAAATCTCATAATATTCTCAATTCACGAATAAATTTCCCCATGAAACACCAAGGCAGAAAATTACCAAGACCATTAATAAATTCTGTTCAATTTTCATTTCCAATTCAACACGAATCTCAATAAATGAAAACATTCACAGTAATTATCACGTCTATCCCACCAATCTATTTCACTCTTCATTACCCTGTCTAACCCAATTAAACACTGAACACTGAATGAGAATTCAATAGTACATCTTTCACTTACTTTCCACCTGTCTCTCATTCTTTTCAATTCTCCTAATCTGCGAAGTCTATTCAAACACTTGATAACTCCGACGAAAGAGAAATTATTGTGTATTACCAATTAATTAATTAATATAAAAGCACGTATGGTTAAGCGCGGCGTGTGGGTGCGCCCAGTAAAGCTCACCCATTATTATTTTTATTCACCAATTCAATGATGAATTGAAGTGACAAATGCGCATAATTATTGTTTCCCCACGAGTGGCAAATCGTCTTGTTACGCCATCAGTGGAGAAGGAACAATTATGAGCGGCCACAACAGCTCAACACCAGTGTGTTGAAATTATTATAATAATATCTTATTATTTACCACGTTAACGTGCACACTGCAATCGTCGTATTACAATGAATAATAATTTAATGATAATCGCCGTGAGTTTGTGGGAATTCGACAGAGTGATGATACCACAGGTATTATAAACCCCCGGGGAATCACCGAGTTATTTTTACAGGGTCAAAAAAAAACAAAGTATTATGTAGCGCAAAGGCGTTTAGGATAGTCTAACATGCCCACATGTAGATCACTGCAACGATCCTCAAATAGACACTGACATGTGATTTGAGGAAAAAAATGAAAATAAGCAGCAACATGAAAAAGTTGCTAACAAACGATAAATGGAGGGAGAGAAAAATACTAACGTGCCATAAAAAAAAAAACACTGACACTTCCTAGGTGTGATATACAGGTTGCCACGAGAGCCACGGTGCCTACGATCGTCGATCGGGACGTCCTGGTGTCCCTCCTCCAGCCTCCAGCTGCTGCCTCCGTCCTCACACGAGCGAGAGAACGATCGATGCGCTTTATTTTTCATTTATGATTTCCATTATTTTTCACCTTAATTTGCCGAGAAAGAAAATCAGAGACGACACAATGATCTCAATTAAACCACCAAAGCTTAAATTAAACTCCAATTAGGCGAATTGAATTTTAATCAGAGTTAAAATAAAATTTAAAATGAAGTGAGAAAAAAAAAAGTGGAGGAAAAGAGGGAAAAAAATGAATCCACAAAAATTTCACCAACCACCAACTCCCATGAGTTTGTTTTACATATCTGTCACGAGCACTAGACAAGACTAACGACGTTCTTTTTTCTTTTTCCATTTGTTATACGTATGTGGTGTAGCGCGAGACATACAAGCTGGAGGCGATGGCACAAGACAAGGGCTATCCGCCCTTGTCGCGAACCGTGGAGGTTCAGATTGACGTTGTGGACCGTGCTAATAATCCGCCCGTATGGGACCACGTAGTGTATGGCCCGATCTACTGTAAAGAGAACATGGCCGTTGGGGCTAAAGTTGTGTCTGTTAAAGCCAGGTCTGTCACACTGTTAATGCTCCGTGCGGCTGCACGAACCCGCCCTGCACGCAAAATCTCGTGGCAGTATTGTTCTTGTGCACGTTAATTGATATTGTGTACGAAACCCACACATATTTTACATTTTTGGAGAATATATTACACTTTACATGTATACTTTACACCCTGGCTGAGAGGAACACTCTGTCAACAACACTTGTTAAAAAATTCTATATCACTTGTCGATTCAGTTGAGGGACGTTAATATTAGTCTTAATATTAGTATTTTAATATTGGTGAGTGGAATTTTGTGAGTCACAATTGTTGGTTGTCATTCAGAGTGTTCTTACCCATCCAATGATATTTCACTTTGTTTTTTATTTTCTCCAGTTGATTTTTCTTGGTTTACAGTTATTTCGATACACTGTTTTATCATTATGTTGGTTGGTTATATTCTTTTTCATTTTTTTACTTTCCATTGATTTCATACATCATTACTGACAGCACATGAACATAACATAACGAATCATTAACAGATCATTACGAATACTGACATCACAACGCACATGATACAGATAATGATAAAGTTTATGAAGAAACACCACAAATTACCACTTCGATGCACGTCTTTATCGGTGTGTGGCTGTTCACGAAGACTCGCCTCGATGTTTTTGTCATTCACGATTTTGTACGTTTAATTATATTCAATGAATTTTCTATGTTTCCGAGATAGTACTTTATTGTTGATTCAATCAAGCCCTCGGGCTTTTTCACTCGATGAAAAATCTCGTTGTATTCTTACATAAGATTTTTACATTCTTAACAATTAAATATTTCAATGTACTCGATGAATATTAATTCATATCGAGGTACATCACCTCCTCGTGACAATCTCATCATAATTTAGTTATTCATTGATATTATTATGTAAAAATGTCGACGTGAGCAGTCACTACGTTCCCTCGCGATGACATGAGACTTTTATACCGCCTGCTCACGTTTTTTGAAAAGACGAAACAGTAATGAAAATCTATTATCAATATAAAAAAAACAGTTATGAGTAAATAAAAGTGATTTGTTGAAAGGCTGAGAGTTATCATATGAATTAGATAAAGATGTTTTCGTCGGGCGCCGGACGGATCGCAAAGTATATTAATTTGAGATTAATTTGTTTAATTATATATACAGAGACCCATTAGTTCGAATACATATGTGTGCCGTAAACATTTTTTGGGCATGCTTCGACATAGATGCTTCCTGAGAATCCCCCTTGATTTTTTCAAACTTTTGATACCAATTTTTATAAAACAAAAAAAAATAAAAAGAGATTCAAAATAATTATTTTATTTAATTAGATTGTCGTAATCATTGGCATCTTCCAAAATTGATAATTCATTGAGAAAGTATTTTTATTTTCTCTCGTAAATTTTAGTTAACTCTTTATCAATGTCATTTATCACTCTTTATTTTCCATTAAAATTGATTAATGATTCTCACGCGTGCTGCCTGCCGATCCTTTGTGCCGTTCGTCCGGGAATTAACGGTTTTATATTAAATAATTAATGATATACTGTTGCGAAAGAATGCCGCAAGGACGTAGTAGCCAAGTGAGAAATTGATGCGAGTGAATTCTCCTATTTATTTACATTCCATTTAGATAATTAATTAATTGTATTGTTTAAACCATCTGTTACGGTGAATCCTTCATTATTTCATTTGGTCAATGCCTCCAGATCATCTCCATTAATTTCCAAACATTATTTATCCGAGTCGAGACTATTTTTTTAAACTCCTCTGTTGGAATAATCGCCAGATTTATACCTATACGTTTGTTATCCATTTTATCATCCTTTTTGCAGAGAACTTGCATCAAGTAATAGAACGTCGACCATATATTTTGAATGCCGTAATTGATTTTTGGGCATGTTTCGTCAGTTGCTTAAATTGCGTTGAGTTTAGTGTCTTCGAAGGCCGTAGTTGGTTTACGTAGAGTTTAATGAAGAATAAAAATTAACAGAGTTGAATTAAATTGAGATAATTAGAAGCCGAGAGAAATTTTTTCATTCGCGAATGTGAATTTTTTTTAAAAGCATCATTATTTTTTTTTATCACAATTAAAAAAACATAGAATGAGTTAAAGTACATGTTCATGATGTCGTTATTTAATCCGGGAATTGACAGCGCTGAGAAATTCAATCAGATTTATTGATGTGAAAAATTAATGAGTACTGGAGTAAAATGGAATAATTCGGATGGAATTTATTGATAGGTTTGTACGGATGAGCAATAGATTGAAAAATACGAGACAAACTCAGACACAAAATACAAGATACTCTCACACGAGGATGAAATGCAAAGAAGAGAAAAATGAAAACGAATATATCCATTATATGGAAAAGAAAATAAAAAACAGACGGGGGGAGAAGAATCTCAAATTTAAAATTCAAAAATCAGACTGGGTTGAAGAAAGGCGATCGTTACGCACCGGTAGTTTTTCCGTTACACTGTTGAAAGAAATGATTAAATTTTTCCCAAATTTAGACTGAATTCAATTCAATGGGAAAATTCGAGAAAACTCTGAGCATTTCTGAAAATTCCATCATTATCCTGATTTCCATAAATTCCAATAAATTCCAATAAATTCCAATAAATTCCAATAAATTCCAATAAATTCCAATAAATTCCAATAAATTCCAATAAATTCCAATAAATTCATAAAATATTTCCGAATTTTTCAACGAACTGAGGTTTGCCCCTACAAATTTTGGCATGACATTAATAATTATCATTGTAAAAATTCAATAAAAAAAATATAATCAGTGTATGCAATAAGTTTTGCAACGAAAAATCGACTGCAGCAAATCAGATCGTCTCTCATCAATTCCCTCCGCTACACTGTACACGACAGAATTCTTCAGTATAGAGAAATTCTTCCCCCGTGCCACATGTATCCTTAAATAATTAGTGGGGATGCGTAAAGGACAGTCACGAGATGCATAATTAATATCACGCTCACGAGAGACAATGAATCACACGTGAAATGAACTCGGTGCAATCACAAATCGCGGCACAAACTCCTCAAATCCAAATAAAATTTCATTTTTCCGAAGCACAGAACAAATGTTCAACAATAAACCTGTGGGTCTATGGTCTTCTCTCATCTGTCCTCCGTAACTGAATAAATCCCAAAATTCTAGATGAATAATGAACAATCAAAGGGAACATATACGCCTCCGCTTATTCTTCCACGTGAATATATATTATACTTCATAATATTAATTCATGGCCCTAGATATACCAATTATATATTTACGATAGATGTGTACACGTACGCGCACAAATGCATAAATCATACCGGTGATATCACGCTTGAGCGACTAACATCACACACACGATTGACACATGTACTTAAACACGAAAGCATTTTAATACGGTCGGTTACATGCCAAGCACGACCGCTCTTCGAACGTTTCCACGATAATCATTTGAATAAATAAAAAATTACAACAACTCCGCCATACGCGAATATTTATCCATGCGACAATTCCATAAATTCTCTTAATTCTCTCATTTTCTGGCTAAAGTAATTCAATTAAACGGTACCAGAATTGAAACAGACAAGCGAGAAGGACCCATAAAATTGAATAGAAAAACAAAATTTGTAAAATTGGAAAAATTGACAAAAATGGAGAGAATCCAATGAGGAATTAGCGTTCGTCGTGCGTCGTGTTCGGCTTTGTTTGTTTATCAATACGGAATAAATAATTTCCAATAATTTTTTGTGAAGTAACACGGTGGGAGAATACACATATGGGAGTTATGGAAATTCACGGGAATACGGTGGAGGAAATATGTGGGGATCGATTTTATATTTGAAAGATGAATTGATGAAATGACGGGGGGTTGAGTAGTGGGTGATAATAGATGAACACGCATTGGATTGATTAAGTGATGCCGCCTGCGAGTTTTTTTTTAATGAATTAGGTAGATGAGACATCTTTCACTTCTAGAGTCACGACGAATTTTAGTATCATGAGTTTATGGATGCTATGGAGAGAATATAGCGATTAATGAGGAAAGAAACGACAACGAGAGAATATCGAGGCAATTTTTATGCCGTTGGGTAATTTTTCTAGAGTTTTTAAAAATGAGGGATTAATTGGTTAAACAAATAACTGATCAAATAAAATGAGTAGTGAGTTGCGACGTGTGCGCTAGGTAAATTCATTAAATTAGATGTGTTATTCATTATTATATTATCACTAGAAGGATTTTTTGGTAAAATAAGTTTTTCATTATGACGTGTTTCGCATGGAATCTTTCGTTAAAGCCGTTATGATACTCATAGTTTTGTACGGTATAACCTGAATACCCTAGGGGAAATTTTCGTTCTCGTTTCTGTTTCCGTTTTTTTTTTCTTTTTCGTATGTCATGAGGGCCCAAAGGAGTATTCATTGGGAAAAGATAGATTATTGGGCCACACACCAGGAATTTTTAACTCATATGTTTTCTCGTATGCCCTCACAGCTCGGGAATCGAAAATAATCCCACGGTATTTTACCACTTAATGCCGGGATCTACTGCACAGACGAACAAATTTCATACGTTCTACCTTCAGCAACGATCGGAAACGTTATCAAGGGACAATGTTACCTGGGCGGATATAAAAGTTAATCATCCGCTGGATTATGAGAGCATAAAGGAGTATAATTTAACAATACGTGTGGAGGTAAGCTTGAGATTATTTTATGTGGCTTCAAGAACTCACTGAGATGATGACAAATATTCCCGCAAAAATTATGAACAATTATGGAGGAGTGCAACGAAAAAGATAAAACAAAACAAGTAAATTTTAAAGAGGCCCTCAACGTTCACCAATCTCATAAATGAGAGTAATGTATTTTCGCCTTTCTCCTTTTACAAAATAAAATAATTATCGTCAATAATTGGAATGAATCAATTAATTCATCAATCTCTGACAAATTTACACGTTCTGTATGACTCTTTCACGTTCGCTTTGTAATCGGTTTCGACGGCACTACATGCAAAAACAAGATCAATTCAAATCATTAAAATTTCCCATAACAGAAATTGAAGTTGGAACTTTAT